CTGAGTCGACCAGACTATTCCTCATAATTTTCTGAGTACCAGGTAAAACTTTCCAAGCTACCAAAGGTCTACCGGCTGAGATAATAGAGGTACAATTTCCTAATGTATTAAAATAACGCTGACCCGTGATATTTTCAAAATAACTTCTAATAGAAATAAGATAGAGACCTACGATTTACGCAGGACACCTCTAGGCAGCATTATCTACTAGCTTAGGAGCAATTGAGCGGGAAAAATTACCTGCAGGTGGTGTACCCGTTGAAATTATTCTTGTCAGAAAACGCTTTCAGAGAATCTGCGATTTTTTCGGCTTATTAGTAAATACTTCCAAAGCTTTTGTTTTATGTAGTTCTGTTTGCTCTACTAGAAAGAACGTGTTCGAAAACCCATTAAAGTTTACTTTTCTCAGTTCTGCACAGCTATGAATAGGAAAAAAGTTCGAAATGAATCTCTCCCTACAAAAAAAGTCTCCCTACATTTTGCGGCATAACGCGAAGTTTACTAGGAAGACATCAACTTTAAGTGCTGACATTTTTACCACTCATACAACTTCCTACCTGCTTCTGGTTCTGAAAGTTTGAAACAATTTAGATACAATCTCATTGACTTATTGACAACGCAAGTTCCAAAATCTCTCCCTACAAACTGACTGAAAAATCTAAACTTAGTCATTTTTGGACCACTTAATAGGCGTTTAGTAAAATACTTTTGTGTGTTTTCCGGAGTGTTTTTGATGCTCTATCCCATGGTGGAATCAATTTTACGTATAAGTGCTGCCTAAATCCGCTAGACCGATTTTGGTGTCTCCCTATAATTTGTACGAAAAACTTAATTCTCTAAAAAAATCTGTGCAAAGTGCTGAAGCGAAATCGTAAATAACCTGGATGGAATAGAGAATTTTCCGCTCTACATGATCCACTGGTCTGCTTTTTCTTTATCATCTGTCTTTGATGTGAAAATCGCGTTTTTATTCATCCTAGTCAAGATAAAAACGCGTTTTTCTGCTTTTTCATGCGTGTATCTCACTCACCTAAAAACATAGAATGCTCAAAATTTTAACGGTAGTGAGAGGTGGTGAGATGAGTAAAATAAAAAAAAATTTTAGGAATTCGACAAACCACTACGGATTTATGGCAGAAACGGTACTAAACAACCAATTGTACAATTAATATACGATCCACTCACATACAACATTCTAGATATTTTATAGATATTAATCCATATGGACGACGTTTCCAATATATTGATATGAACAGCGAGTTTTTTGCTAGTTATTTTAGTAAAAAACATCGAGCACTACCTTCCATTTCGACTATACAACCAATACCGTATCGATACTTTTAAAATTAATTCGAGGGCATTTTCCTGATCAGATTTTAACTCTCGTTCAAATGAGAGAGACCTCTAAGTTTGTAAAGAAAGCCACTGTGAAGCCATTGACACAGTAGTAGACCCTCTCTAGTTAGAGAACCTACTCCATCGAATGATGCAAAAGACGGAATACAAGACTATTCTCATATCATCCTCTCAACATGAACAACGTGAACGCAATCGATTAGAGCACAATACGGGACATACCTTTAAAACTCAGGATAAATTAAAGGACCTGGCTCTTTTATTGCCACAATCCATTTAATGATGGTTGAACTCCATGCAACGACTCTGATGAAGCTCTTCTCCTCTCAACCTTTTGAGAGATACCCCATGTTGAAAAAAAAGCTGGTGAGTACCCTAGTTTTTCTATTTAAATGTGTACAGAATTTTGTTTAAGATAGGTCTGCAGAGAAGGTCACTGTGTATAAAGTGATCGAAAGCCAATAGAATTTCTCAGTAAGCGAGTTTTTAACTATTTATCGTGTGAAAAAATGTTGAGTTTCGTATTTCGAAAAATCAGAAATATAGTATCAATGGCTGTTTGTATATATCTCTGACATCCATATAGATGAAGTCGTTCTATAAAATGACGATAAGTGCATGTATAAATCCTGGCAGCCAGAATAAAATCGTCAAAATAAGATTGATCCATACAGTTGAATTACATTGATTAAATTTGAGATAAACGGCTAATGGTGGAATAAAGAATGCAATGATAATTAATAAAATACCTTCCACGACCATTATTGTAACTGGCGTTGAATATTGAAGAGAAGTTTATGCGTTGTCAATATTATGTAAAAGAAATGTAAAACGATTTAAGTATGCTAACACTTTTTGACTTTTTGTGTATTGCTTACGTTATCACCATAGAGCTGTAATGTAAACGAAGCAATAAACAATTTTGTTCTTTTTTTCTCCAGCGCATAGTTTCAAGAGAATTTCTTTCGTATTGTTTCAAAAAATCAGAGTAATATTTGTGTTTCTTTTGATCAAAAAGCGAACGACAGAAGGTGAAAAAACTAAGTTTTCACTGGATTTTTAAATGCTTCTGTAAAAACAACGTTGATTCAGCGTGACTAATTCCCTACAATTCATCCAGAAAAACCTAATCATCGCTCTCCCCCCCCCTAGAAAATTACTGTGCAATATGAAATGGAAAGAAGAAATACGTGACTATTTCAACTTGTAAAAGAAAAAACTCACCTTTGCGCGAATTTATCCCTTTCCGAGGTTACCAACAGGCCAAACGCACCAGTCGTGAGACTCTCGAGATCTCTGACGCTATGCCTAAACTGTTAAAAATCAAGAGCTCGCTCGACTCTCATTTCGGAGAGAACATTCGTCCACCTACCGATGAAGAAAAGCAAAATATCTATCGGTGTTGAAACCTTTTTAGCCATGGCTTCATTCTCCAAACTTCCAAGTGAAAGCCTCTTTCTACAAAAAAAATGATTTTCGTAACAGTTTTCTCTTATGATTAGGTTTTTCTGGATTAATTGTAGGTAATTAGTCACGCTGAATCAACGTTGTTTTTACAGAAGCATTTAAAAATCCAGTGAAAACTTAGTTTTTTCACATTCTGTCGTTCGCTTTTTGGTCAAAAGAAACATAAATATTACTCTGATTTTTTGGAACAATACGAAAGAAATTCTCTTGAAACTATGCGTTGGAGAAAAAAAGAACAAAATTGTTTATTGCTTCATTTTACATTACAGCTCTATGGTGATAATGTAAACAATATATCGAGTGCTGATACAAAAGACGTTTAAAAGTGAATTTTTTCTTCTACTAGTTTAAATAGTCACATATTCATTTCTTCTTTCCATTTCATATTGTACAGTAATTTTCTAGGAGGGAAGAGAGAGAGGTTCAATCTATGAGATCAAAACGATTGTGCTATAAATGTGATGAAAAATCAATTCACAGCAAACGAGTATTAGCCACGCTCACGTTACAACGATCTATAATGTAAGGTCAATCTTGTGTTTGAAAAAACTTTCGTGCGTCATTTTATCAACAATCGAGTAGTTTCACATTCTTAGTTGAAATTTTGTTTGAATGATAACCTTTCATGCCAAGGCAAAATAATACTTACCTACTCAATAAAACTGAAAGTATTTCATTTAAAATTATGATGAAATGTAAAATTGCAAAATGATTTTTTTCTTCCTTCTGTCGCTGTTGTTCTTCTCGTATTTCAACCAGAAGTGGGCGAGTATGAGTACACTCCAGTGTAAAATTTTCAGTACTCATACTCAGAAATTTTTTAGGACTCCTTAAAAATGTACTTAAGTGTTTTCGAGTAGTTGAAATTTTTCTATTATCATGCTTTACAAAGAATTTTTGGACCTGCAAAATGAATAAATGTGATTATTGTAGTGACAGAAAAGCTCCTGTCTACCTTGTCTTAGTAGGGATCGGTCAAATAAGTTGAGTGAATAAATGACTATGATTCCTCGTATGCCGACATACGAGAAATCACAGTCATTTATGCACTCAATTAAACAAAAGAGAGACCCTAAAACCAACAAATAACCCGATAAAAATTGGTAGTGTATTTTTAGTTTTGTACTCGAAGATGTAACTTTGATATAAAAATGAGGTCATTTCGGTATCAGCATCAAAAACTGAAATGAATGATGTACGTCTCCATAATTTTCCACAACTTTTTTTAGTGAAGTAAGGCTAAGAATTGTTTTTCCTAGCCCAATTGTCAAAAAAAGAATCTAATATCGCCCGATTCATCTACATTACTAGATTTTTACTCGATGGCAACTATTGGGTAACGACAGTGAAAATCTAGTAATCGGACGAATGCTGGATTTCTTGTAGTTGCAACTATCGATTAATCACCCGATAATCGATCGATTTAACTATTGCTAGTTGCACATGCAGACGCATCTAGGTAAAAGTCCTTTTTCCAACTACTATGCATTCCAAAATACAATTCCGGTCAAATACAAAAAACAAAATTCCGGTGGACATTTTTTGAATAACTTTTGATAGGAATGGGATGGATAGAGACCTGCGATTTTCGCTATTCGATAGCCAAGACTTGAACGGAAACAAATTTTGAAAAAATTTCAAAGATCGGATTTTCAGAGAATCTTTGGAAAACCACCTCCTTTCTCAGAAAACTAACATACAATGTTAGTAATTTTTTTGCATGCGTACTGAGTATTGAACCATGTGAGTAGACGCGTTCTATGATGATCAATCTCTACTGCTCCTTTAGCAATGATTTACTTTTAAATGAGTAGTAGCAAGCATAAGGAAAGGAAAAAGAGTCGACGTATGTAAATAGCAGTGTGTCACTGTAATTGCACACCTGTTGTTCTTGTTTGAGAAATTACTTTTTTTGAATATGTTGGTACCGTGTCATTTCTCCACACCCCACACCTATATTATGACTAATCGTGACGAAAAAGTTGGTACACTTTCGTCTGAACTTTAGCGGCGTCTGATCGTGACAAAACCACACGCTGACAGCTACTCTAGTTTCTATAACTAAAACTCTGTGAGTAGTGAGGACGCCTTTTGTTTTAGTAAAGCTGAGAGATTCAATCGAACTTCCTACAGAACTTCAGCTGTCTACAAAAAAAGACAACAAGTGAACAATGTTTTTATGTGCCATTCGCCTTCCTTTGTACAACCCATAGTGTACTTTCTTTTTGAATACCATAATCGCCAATATAGCGTAAATCCTCCAGTTGTTTGCCTGCGAATATGATTCTCTGTGATTCCACTGAGATACCCATTTTTGCTTCAATTCTTTTCTTCACATCTTGAATTTTATCATAGAACGACGCTGTGAGTGGTTGTGCGACAGTGGTTTCTTGGCCAGATATTTTAAAAAATAAATCTACAGGATGCAGTTTTTGAAGTTCTTCTTCTTCTTCTGCCGTAAGTGTTCTCCTGTTGGGATTTTTGAAGAAAACTTCATCCCCAAGCATTACTTTCCTGTGTGATTCAACTGCTTGAAGCTGTGTGTCGCGCTTGTGTTTCTTGAATATTGAACCCATGTGAGTAGACGCGTTCTATGATGATCAATCTCTACTGCTCCTTTAGCAATGATTTACTTTTAAATGAGTAGTAGCAGGCATAAGGAAAGGAAAAAGAGTCGACGTATGTAAATAGCAGTGTGTCACTGTAATTGCACACCTGTTGTTCTTGTTTGAGAAATTACTTTTTTTGAATATGTTGGTACTGTGTCATTTCTCCACACCCCACACCTATATTATGACTAATCGTGACGAAAACATTAGTACACTTTCGTCACGCTGGAAAGATCAGACTGATAATTTGACCAATTCGTCACGCTCGCACCCTTTGTCTTTCACAATGAACTTTCGCATCACAATTCGGTCGAGAAAATTTTTGGTGATGAACATCATACTGTCTTCCCCTGTAATTTCATACAAAAACATCCGAGTTTGTTTTGGTTCAACTACGTGGAAAAAAAAGTGATTTTACAAGTGCTCGATCAGACTCTTTTACCTCGTGCAGTG